TATATATATATTGATACCTTGGTGCATTTCATTCATGTTTGATGCAGTGTACAGACCAGTATTGAAAACTGTCTATTTTGCCTCTTTTGTGAATAATATTGATAGTTGAGATAAAGATATTTTTGATATAATCAGAAATATATGGCGCTGGTTTGTGAAAGACGCTAATCCAACGTTCTCTTCACTGATCCACAGTGCATCTTAGCCTGTGAATCACATGGTATTGGCCCAGATAACCTTAGATCTGGTGCCGAATCCAACCAGATCTGTCCTATGGGTGGTCCTTTTGATCCTCTGGATGGGGAACAACACGTTTCTCATTTAAAAAAAACTGGTCCAGATGACATGATTTAACCTTTTTTTATTGTTATCTACCTGGATGATTGAGCTTACAACCATTTTTCCAAATATAATTGATTTTTTTCAACTCTTTAAGTCTAACCTGACATACATTTTACTGCACACACCTGAAAATATTTAAATTTAATTTCTTAGAAGCGAGTCATGATTTGTGTGTTCAGGTTTTAAACTCTACACCTTTTAACTGAAGTAAATAAATCCTGAAAACTAAAGTCAGATATAGACTTCCCACTCCTGTTGCTTCTCAAACACTTTGTATTTTTCAAAATGGAAAGAAAGAGGTTGAAACAAAAATATTTGGTTTCTGATGCAATCTGAAATTTCTTCTCTGACTCAACTAGCTGCGATCACGTTGACTGAAATGACTTGAAAAGGCTGAAACCTCTGCGTTCTAAGAAAGACATTATGAAAACATAAACTGACAAAGGTTACACATCTCAAAGCCTCCTGCTCCACGTGTGTCCATATTTCAGTCTAACCATTGCCACATTTCCCACAGTTTCCATGGACACAGGAGAAAGATCTGCAGCGGTCTAACACCAGTTCTCCTCTGTTAACTCAGGAATCAAACAGCCAAATCAAGCCTAATTTAAAATAGTCTATCAGAATAAGACAAAAATATTTCTAATTTGTGGCAGGTTGAAAAGACAAGCTTCTCATTTAAAAGATGTAGGTTTATTAGGTCCCTTAAAAAAGGATTCTGACGTGCCTTTAAACCCTCTAATTAAACCACAGCTGGCTCTGTACTTATTCCTTGCATATTTTTTTAAAACTTAAAATCATCATTAAATTCAAGCTGTGACAGTCCATCCTTAATAAATATGTTTTCTTTTTATAGTGAGATTTAGCTGTGAATTCACTTTTGCGTTTTTCCCATTTGGTCATAATGGAACGCAAATGATTTAGATATACAGGTGCTGGTCATACAATTACAATATCATGAAAAAGTTGATTTATTTCAGTAATTCCATTCAAAAAGTGAAACTTGTATATTATATTCATTCATTACACACAGACTGATATATTTCAAATGTATATTTATTTTAATGTTGATGATTATAACTTGACAACTAATGAAAACCTCAAATTCAGGATCTCAGGAAATTAGAATATTGTGAAAAGGTTCTACATTGAAGACACCTGGCGCCACACTCTAATCAACTAATTAACTCAAAGCACTTGCTTGCAAAGGCCTTTAAATGGTCTCTCAGTCCAGTTCTGTAGGCTACACAGTCATGGGGAAGACTGCTGACTTGACAGTTGTCTAAAAGATGACCATTGACACATTGCACAAGGAGGGCAAAACACCAAAGGTCATTGCTAAAGAGGCTAGCTGTTCACAGAGCTCTGTGTTCAAGCACATTAATAGAGAGATGAAGGGAAGGAAACAATGTGGTAAAAAAAAAAAAAGCTGGAGAGGATTATGAAACAAAACCCATTCCAAAATATGGGGGAGATTCACAAAGAGTGGAATGCAGCTGAAGTCAGTACTTCAAGAACCACCACGCACAGACATATGCCAGACATGGGTTTCAGCTGTCGCATTCCTTGTGACAAGCCAGTCTTGAACAAGAGACATCGTCAGAAGTGTCTCGCCTGGGACTGCTGCTGAGTGGTCTAAAGTTATGTTCTTTGATGAAAGTACATTTTGTATTTCCTTTGGAAATCAAGGTCCCAGAGTCTGGAGAAAGAAAGAAGAGTAACAGAATCCACATTGCCTGAAGTCCAGTCTCAAGTTTCCACAATCAGTGATGGTTTGGGGGGCTATACCATCTGCTGGCGTTGGTCCACTGTGTTTTCTGAGGTCCAAGGTCAACACAGCCTTCTGCCAGGATGTTTTTTAGAGCATTCCATGCTTCCTGCTGCTGACCAACTTTATGGAGATGCAGATTTCATTTTCCAACAGGACTTGGTACTTGCACACAGTGCCAAAGCTACTAGTACCTGGTTTAAGGACCATGGTATCCCTGTTTTTAATTGG